GACATTGGTGGTGGAATTAGTGGAAATTAGGGCAATTTTTTTTTTCTGGTTAAGAAATTGTTAATTTGAGTTTGATTTTTGGACAATGGAATTGAAAGTGGAAGCTAGAAAATAAAAAACAAAATAAAAATGTGAAGGACGTGTAGAGAGAAAAGAAAGGAGAAGAATTAGGATCAACCTTTAACGTGGAGATCTTCCCCTTCAAACCAGCAACTTTTGAAACTTTCATCCACCAATTAACAATAATCAACTTGCAACCTTGAGTTTTTTTAATGGTAATTAAATCATTGTCCAACATTTTTGGAGTTTAGATTTTATTAGCTAGTGTCCTCGAGTCCATTTTAATCCCAAACGTAAATCCTGCTCACTTTCGTCCGGAGAGATATGAGGTTAAGATTTGAACTCAAGACCCTTTAAAAATGAAATATATACCTTAATTAATTGAATTCTCCTAGGCTGGCCGCATTTTACATTTTAATTATTGATCTTAACATTATATCTATATCTATATACTATGATATTGGATTGATATTTTTCTTTTATATCTTTTCGATTTTTTTATGATATTATGAAAATGTCGATTCATTTTTTATGTTGATGTAGAACTCATAGAACCATATCAATAGAGGATGAAAATTTTAATTCCTTGAAATTTATAATTCATTTGTAATATTTAGCTGCAACTATCTATATTAAGAAAAACTGCTAATATTTAATCAAAATATTTACTATCAAATTGGAAAAAACTTTATTATTAGCCATCTCTTGGCCAACTAAAAATCTAGTGGGATATTATTTTTTCTCGACACAACAAAATACAAATCTCAATCTCAACTGTGACAAAAAATAAATCAAGTGGCAAATACTCAATTTATAGGACAAATTTATTGAATTTTAGATATCAATTTATAGACAAATTTATTGAACTTTAGATATCACTTGCGAAAACTTCAAGATATTCACGAATATAACAAATTATAATCGGCCTTCATTGAAAAGATTATATATATAAATGTGTCATCATAAAAACAATATTCATGTGACATGGAAGTAGAAATTTGTGAAAACAAATTTATGCAAAACAAGAACTATTCAAACCAAGTGTGATGTTTTTGCTTTATTCTTGCAAGTTAGCTTTGAAGTCATTCTCATCCACTTGATATATAATAAGAGCATGTGATTCTTTAAAAATACCATATAAAATAATGTAAGAGAGAGATGTAAATTAAGGAACCAAATTGGAAATGTTCTTTTTCCCAACATTTCATTTTGCTCACAAATTGTCTGACAACTCCAACATAGTTTTGATGCTTTTTGCCTTGAGTTTTTACACTTCTCTCAGCTTGTAAACCATATTCTTTCCCATCTATTCCTTTGGCTGAGGTTCCTCAACCAATTTGGACATATTCCATGTTCCATTATATTAATTATTATTGACAAAATAAATAAACTAAAAAAATAAAACCCTACGTTTATAACAATAAAAAATCAACCCTTAAATGATTATATCATTTCTAAAAATTATTTCTCAAAAAAAAAAAAAAATCCAATTCTAAAGATTTTTAAATGGATATATTAGATGTGTTATATTTTAGCCGTCTTTGAGTTCGAATCTCTACCCCACATATTGTAAAAAAAGAAAATTAAGCCTCATGTTGTAATAAAAGAATAATAATATATATATATATATATATTTGAGATCGAAACTTTTTTTTTTGAACTGTTTTATAAAAAGTTGTGTTTAAAAAAGGAAATTCATACGTTACTCCACACTTATTTTTACTATTCGTGACTCATGAATTGAATAAAAGTTTGAATATTATTTTGGTCTTTGGACTTTGGTTTATTTTGGTCTTTTTACTTTCGAAAGGTTCATTTTTATCCTCGTACTACTTTTAACTTTTGTTCATTTAAGTCTCTATAATTTCAAAACGTCCGTTTTGGTCCTCGTATTTTTAAAAAGTAACCCATTTTGATTCGTATTTGTAAAATTTCAATACAAATTTTATATACAATGAATACTATTTAATACAAATTTATAGCTACATTTCAAGAAATTTAACGAGCGAAAAGTGTCAAGCTAAAATTATGATGGAAAGAAATCAGATAAAAATAAAATTGAATTGGCTAAAATAATCACTTTTTAAAAAGAAGGGAGATATTTTGAAAGTACATACACTAAAATTAAAAAAAAAAATTTGAAAATATACTAATAAAAAAATAGACGTTTTGAAAGTATAAAATCTAACGAAATCGAAATAGGATACTAAAAAGAGTGTTTAAAATAAAAATAAACTATAACTAACCATATCATTTTCTATATTGAAAATAATATAATTTTCTAAGAAAATAGAAGAGAAATAAGATTTTATATTTTGAATGCTATTTCCAAACACAGCACATTTTTGTCTCTCTCACTTAAAATCAAGGATTTGTGATGGTGAATAGATATATTCCTTCATTTTTGCTCTCTCCCCACACACATCAATCATATGCTTAATTCTTTATAAAAAAATAAAAATAAAAATAAAAATAAAAATAAAAAATCATATATGTTTAATTCCCAATCTCTATAATTTTGGAATTTACACACACATATATATATTCCGAATTTGTGCTTTCAAAGTCATCAGATAGAGCTTTAGCCTTAGGTTTTTTCTTTAACATTTAAACAATAGGAATATATTCCTATAGGGTTCGTACATATTCTCCTATTTATTTTAGCTTTAAATATTGTAGCGAGATCTTGGATATTGATATCTATGAAAACATCGAAGTCTAAGTTTTATAGAGATATGAATATCGATTAATATTTCTGAAAAGTTATAGAAACAAAAATTTTGTAACAAATATTTAAATTAACGGAAAATCATTCCACACTTTTTAAATAAGTTAAAACGGATCATATTAACATTATATTCATATTAGTGGGTTTATGCTTATATTTTAATGTTTTATCATTTTTATTTACAATATTATGGAAATATCAATTCACTTCTTATGTTGATGTCGAACTCCTAAACATATAAAAATGTCGACGGAAATTCAATACCTTAGTAGTACTTTAAGCATGTATTATGGATATAGTTTTGTAAAGGTCCTCCTTCTTTCCGAACATTCTATTGTTGTAATTTTGAGATAAGCCTCACCGACATGTTAATATTTTGTTGATGTTTTTAGATATTAAAATATTTAAAGTTGATGAAAAATACTAAACTTTTATTTAAGGCTAAATATATAATTTAGTTTCTAATGTTGGTATCATTCATATATAATGTCTGACGTTCAATACTATGTTTTCTAGTATAAAAGTTGAGTATTGTTATAGTCGGTCACGTTGTCTAACTAGTGATATATAGTGACCAGCACAAGGTTTGAATCCAAAACTTCAGAGCAGGTGACGTCACGCATTATATATAATACATCAAATTAAAGCGTATATCATTTCCAATCCAATTAAATAAAATATATACCGACGGGACATGATCATTTTGCCAATAAATTATAACACATTTGTGATTGCAAAAAGAAAACTTGAATAAAAAGATACTTCATAAAAATTTGAAATGGGAACTTTAAAAAGAAATGAAAATGACTCGGATATTAAGAAACTAAATCATATATTATATTGTAGCCTAATTTCTATAATTTTTTTTATTCTAAAGTGTATCAAGCTTACACAACGAGATTCATTATATAGAATAATGGATCACATAATACTACAATAAGCATGAACATTATCTTCACTAAAGAGATGAACAGTGTTATCACTAACAGTTGAATATAAAGGATCTGGGAAGTATCCACGGACGCTTTCATTAACTCCATGCCTATAATAGTTATACGTCGATGCGAACGTCGACTCGTCGTAGTATTGCGACGCGTACGGGTAGTATTCCCCGTCGTAAGGGAACGGCCATAACTCGGCTTTTCGGCCCGTTCCTCTCACCACCTTCAATACTTTCCTTTCATTTACATAACCAGTTACTGTCACCTTTTGCTTGTCCATGTCTATTTCCAAGCTATCCACCCCTATTTTCAAAAGCTTTAGTTTCGTCGTAAACATATTTAGAGCTAACTATTTCAATGCAAGCAGTTGTACTTACCTTCGATTTTCGAGATTGCTCGACGAATCCGATCTTCGCACCCATTACAATCCATATGCACCAAAAGCTCCACAATCTGCGAAACAAAAGCTCACATGAGCATCCAATGAAAATCGATCATATTAAATATACTATAACTTATCTTCTTAAACTTTTAAATTTAGTGGGCACATAAGTGCGGCTAGTTGCACTTACAGACATGGCATTGGAAGATCGATTTCGGTGAGATCGTCGCCCGAACATGACGGTGGTCGAGACAGTCAAAAAATGGCTGCTTTGGCCGTAGAGCTCGGCTGAACGTAAGGCTTTGAATTTATAGTAAAGGCTGTTGGTTCCCTTTCTTGTTTCTGCATGGAACTTTCTGTGTATTGATTCTTATTATGGGGTTTGGTTTTGTATATTTTTTTTTTCTGTTTTTTTTTTTTTTTGGAAGAAAGGGAATAAAAAAAAGGCCCAAATTGGTTGGCTTTGGTGTCCATTTGAATCAATTCTCCCTCCTTATCCCTAGCTATGATCTAAAGTTTTCATACATTATATTAAAATATGAGAAACCAATATGGGACAGAAAAGATATTTATTCTGATTTTCTTAGACAACATTCAATTTTTTGGTTTATTCTTTTCATCCTAATCAAGGGAAATGAAGCGTGGCCATGAAAGAAAAAGGATGTTTAAATGTTCTTGTAATGTGGGTTTCAAAATGGAAAAAGTTTTTCTTTTCCAGAAAAAATGGTAAATATATATATAATAAACTGTGCCTAAATGCTTGTTAGTACAATAAATATGAGGTGGAAATTGAATGGAAAAAGATATTTGGTATCATTTGAAGTATGTTTGTCTCCTGGGGAGATGGAAACCACTTGAGGCCGAGGTATAACTCTTCCCTTGACTTCTCAAGTTCGAGCCGTGCATTGAAATTCCTAATAAAATAGAGTAACTTCATTAATTATTGATGATTAACTCAAATACTTTTATGCTCGAGTTAATTACTACAAATCTGACTTATATCTCTCAAGGTCAGGAATCATAATTGTATTTCCACGTACGAAAATGATTGTCCTAGAGATTGTGCCTCCCGCAACTCTAGTATGTTAGGCCGTGCAAAAATTAATTAAGCAGTTACAGACGGTTGCGTGAGATACCTAGGCATCAACCTATATCTAAACTATCAATGAATCTTTAAACTATATATGGGTGCACTTTGGTCAAACTCGTTCAAACATTACATATTTCTAAAGTAATTAGGGAAAGATGACATAACATACTATTTCCTCATTGTTATATGTCGTGTTTTACCCTCTAACAAGCTTAGAGAAAAGTTAGGCCACCTAATAGAAAAAAGTCAAATTTTTGCTCAACACTTAAAATTTAAGGGGGATAAATTAGAACCTTGTCTCTCTTCGATGACACAAAGTCATTTTATAAATTTCGACTCAACATATGATATAAATTTACTATCAATTATTTTTAACATTCAATAATAAAATATACTTAAAAAACGTTAAAACTAAAAATTTATTAACATAATAGGGATTGAGTTGAAAAAAAATATACTAAATCATATATTTAGAGAAAAAGGAACTTTTTTTTAAATAATGTTTTTTAAAAAATAAATGACACAAATAATGTAGGTTTGAAAGTATTTTCAATAGTAGAGTAGTGAAATCACAGAAATCGCATCTAATGGCTGCGATTTTAGGCGAAATAGTTGTTTGCAAGTCGAAATCGTAGCCAATGACCGCGATTTTGTGAAAGTCACAGTCATTGGCCGCGACTTCGGTGTAACATGGCTTTAAGGATGCCACGTGTTGGGATGGAAATTGCATGCATTTGCTACGAGTTATATATGGTATATATATTATTTTGTCAATTATTTTAATGGTAAGAATTGTGCAACACTGGTCACAATGATCGTTATTAACCCTCCAAAAATATTCTATTCGTAAAATAAATAAAAAACTACATAAATAAATATATAAATATTTTAAATGAAAATCGAGTTGATTGTACGCGACTTTCCATAAATAAAAGTACAATGTAAGCGATTTCCTTACTGACTCATTCTTTGAGGTCCATCTCATCTATATCGTATTGGCACCTAAATCGCATTCATTGTATGCGATTTTTGACTTTGACTAGTACCTAACCTATTTTTATCAATAGTTTAAATGTATAACTTAATTTTGTAATTTTTTATTTATACTACATTTATTTTATTATTATTTTTAAATATACATTATTTTTTAATTTGTTTTGTAAATTACATCATTCTTAAATTTTCTCCTATTTTCTCCTATTTTCTCCTATTTTCTCCTGGAGAAAATTTATACCATTTTACTAACGTTTTTTTTTCTCCCTCCCCTTGCGATCTTCCTGTCTGCGAGCAATGGCTCCAAGGAAGAAGCAGCAGCAGCCGAAGCAGAAGCATAACAACAGAAAATCCAATCCGAATTCCTCCACCTACGATTCCCGTCCTTCGTCGTCCGGTCCAAAGCTTCATATCTCCGCCGAGAACGAGACTCGTCTCCGTCGTCTCCTACTCAGCTCCGGCCGGTCCACTCCGTCGGCGATTCCAGCAGATGACTCGCTTTCAAAGGTTCAGAAGGTTAAGAAGCTTAAAACCGTTTACGAGAAGCTCTCTTGCGAAGGTTTTACCAACGATCAAATTGAACTCGCGCTCTCTGCTATTGGGGTAACTTCTTCTTCTCTGTATTAATGTACCAATCTACATTTCAGTGTTTCCTCCAGCTCTCTCTCGATATATTTTGCAGTAATTACGATTGGTTTGGTTATTGAGACGGTTGTTCAATCCAGTTACTTTGGTTCTGATAAAATATCACGGGGAAAGAAAATGGAAGAGTGTAGAATTATGGAAGTGTTGATGGATTATTTTTACCCACCGGTTCTTTTATTTAACGAATTGTATAATTCAAGTGAAATGTAGTAACGCGAGACAGTTATTTAGAATCATTATACTTTTCGCTTTGTGTCATAGGCTGCGAGCTGCAGCCTGCAGGAACTGAATGACACTTATTTACTGAGATTCCATAGTGAGGAGATTTAGGAAAAAGAAGAACATAAACATGTATTGCAGAAATGCTAAGGTTACCTCTCACCGGCGTAAAATTGAAAATTACTTTGTATTACAACTTCAAACGAACATGGTCGTATAAATATTAAATCGGAAAATTTACAGTAAAATAAACGGGTAGCTAAACAACTGAAACTCTAGCTTTAATTATGTTCTACATAGAGGAACGACATCACCATTTCTGGCTCCAAGCAACTTTATTTATAAATGGGAAGCCTAGGGTGAACGTCCAAGCCCAAAGCGGCATTCGCTAAGGTCATTCATTTTCTTTCTTTCTTTTCAACATTGGTGCTAACTGCCTATGTTGCCTTTCGGAGAAAGTTACACTCGTTGGTCTTACTTTGAAGGCTTTGTCGTTGGTAGGAAGGAACAATGTTCATGTCTGTCACCCTTTTTTTTTTCTGCTAAGAACTGAGAATTTCATTAGTTTTCTGATCCTTTTCTTTATTTTTAAGACCTACAATTTGCTTTAGTATTGAAAATTAAGTCTAATATCTTCTGGGACTATTCGTTTAACATCTTTACACGCTAATTGAAAAGTTTCTATCTAACACGCTAAAATAAATCCCATGTGCTGACAGTTTTCTGAAGTTGTTTTTGTTTTACAATTCATTTATTTTATTCAAATTTTATTTTACATTTATGGTCTAGCTGTAACTACTTTGACTAGCTAGATATTGATTGTAGCTCTCAGTTCCTGGAAAATTTGTAATTCCTTAATATGATACTTTGACTGTATATATCACTATGACTGTATAGATCACTAGAAGTGGCCCAACTTTTTTCTTTTGAGTAGGATGGTGCTACATTTGAGGCTGCTCTTGATTGGTTATGCTTGAACTTGCCAAGTAGCGAGCTTCCACTGAAATTTTCAAGTGGAACTTCTCTGCATACACATGAAGGTATATTTTATTTTGTTATTATACGGGTTCCATAGAATGGTGGTTGTTTTCATTTTCAAGTTTACTGAATTTCAGTATAATGCAAATGATTTTGGACGTTTTATGCTACTGCTATGTAATTCATTTTCCAGGTGGTTCTATTCGTATTCTACAGACTGCACAAAAAGACTGCCCTTCTGTAGGAGTCCAATCTTCCAAATATAAAGATGGAGGCGAAGATTCTTCTGTTATATTCAATAGGCGTAAGGATGACGATACACTAGATTTTTTCCAATCATCACAAGCTCAATGGATTAAACAGTACGTGGAACAGCAAGAAGAGGTGCAAAAAGAAGTTTGATTAATGCTACACCTATCATTTTCAGCTCAAATTTAATTTTCAAATAATGTAGTTAATAGCCATGAAATATTCCTGATAATTTCTTGTTCACCTTTTTCTCCAGTTCATTTCCTGATTATTTATTGTCGGAAAATTTTTGTGCTTGGAATTAGGAATGTCTCAAGTAGTAAATCTATATCTAGGGTTAGAGAACTTAGAAACCTCTGCTCTTTTGTGAAATAGGACAAGGATGTTTAGTCAATAAGCACAAAAGCTACCTTGGTTTCTTTTTTGGAGATTTTCAGTTGTCTTGTAACATAAGAGGTCCAGGGGATGGAATGAAAAAGGCTTTATATATATGGTGAGAATCCTAGTATAATTATGCAATAAGAGACCAATTGTGAGTTAGATTTATCTTTAATTGAATACTCCAAGACAGTTGTTAAAGCCTTTGTTTGCGGAGGTTTCCCTTTTGAACTCATTAGGGAAGATAGTCATAGCCCAACTTGCCCCTTTTTTGGAACTTCAAGCTCCTTACCGTAGAAAGGTCGACATCTGCAGAGGTTCGTAGAATTTTGCAATGAGGTGCTATTTTAATGAACAAAGTTTTCCACGGTTTGTATTTTTAGGTTTTCAATGGTCTTCAAAACCGAGTTAGAGCAAGGAGAAAACGGGCAGTTGAACATGGGCGCAAAAAATAGCGTCTTCTTGGTGTTTAAATTTTAGGAATTCTTTTTGTAACTACAGTCTTGTGATGCTTATCCATGATTTGATGCTTATCCATGATTGGAAAGCTGCTCTTCAATAGTTTTTGATAGGTGGGGGCTTTCTCATCCCCCAGACTTTAGGCTGTTCTTGGTTCTCTCAATTCACAGTTTCTGTTTCATATAAAAAAAAACATGGGCAAAAAAAATTGACCTCCCTGCTTACATCACTTCTCCCGCCAATATTTTTGGATAGGAAACAAACCTTGGTTGTTTTGTTCATTAGGAATTAATCTTATGGTTCTTTATAGGGTCTTTTTTGGTATACGGTTTGGGTTTGGGTTATGAGTGTTTTTTCTAATCTTTCGCGTCTTTTTTTTTTTATATCCGTGAGTGTCCGGGCCAGCTTACGCGCACCTCGACTAATCTCACGGGACAACCGCCTGACCCTACAACATCTGGTGCTGGGAAACACACAAGAATTACTAATTCCTAAGGTAGGTAGCCATCATGAGATTTGAACCCATTCCCTCCTAATTACCCTAGCCCCTTTGGTCTAATCTTTAATGTCTTTTGGTTAGGCTTTGAGTTTGGGTCATTTTGTATAAGTTATTTTCTTCTTCTCCTGACCAATTGTAATAAAGAAAAGAGGGAGGCTAACTCCTTAATCTCTCGATTGTGAAGGGCTCTGCAAAATAAAAAATTGAGGGGGGGTGGGGAACCATCCCCAGTTCCGTGAACAAAAATTTGTGGAGATCAAGGAGTTCTTATTTTGGATAGGAAATTTACATGGCCGGTGGATTACGTAGTTGCTCACACTTCCAATGACTTATCCACCCCTTTGACAGATTCACTGGTTCTACATTAACGTTGGCTCTTTCTTGGTTACATGTTCGCCTTTCATTTTATAGTCTTACTAGTCTAAAGTAAAGGTTACTGTGATAGCTTTATTTATAGGATTTATTGTATGAGGTCTCCCTTTTGGAATGTTTCATATCAAAATATTTGTTTCTAAACAAAATTTTCTGGTCAGTTTATGGGTTTGCTTTATTGTCGGTCATCTTTGGTGGCCTTGTTTTGGTCATTTTTATATTAGAAAGGTAGACGGTTTCGACGTACCCAGAGGCCCGAGGCGAATCCTTTTTTTCTCCCAGTACGATAGGATAAAAGTGGTGTCAGGAATAAATTTTGGTTTTTATTGTAATTTTTGAAAAAAAAAAGAAGGAAGAAAGAAAAAAAGGAGAGAGAAAAGAGAAAAGATAGAGAGAAGGGGGAGTATGTCGAAGTATGGATTTCCTTTGGAGTTTCAAGGTGTTGTTTCTTGAGTTGTTTGTTTCTCAGTTCTGTGTTATCGAGGTTTGGATCAAGTTTGTTTGCAGTTCTACACAGTTTGGAAAGCTTTCAAAGAGTTGGGTGAGTCTACAGTTCGTCTACTAGAAAATTCACGGAGAATAGGCAATGGTTTTGAATTTTGAATAAGGCAGTTGAAAATATTCTTTCGATGAGGAAAGAATGGTAGAACTACCTGATGCACTTATCTATTTGGAATAAATTTCATAGAGCTTCTAACGGAATTTTTTAAAATCTTAAGGTCTTTGAGATTTACCGTGTTTGGAATCCGAATTTGCAAGGATTTGCAAATCATAATGATTTTGAAATCATTCCCGTGTTTGTGTTTTTAGGATATTAAATCCTAGGTAGGTGGCCAACATAGTTTGAACCCATTCCCTCTAAGCCCTTTATTATTTACATTGGCCCTTATTGACCACTAGGCCACACCATGATGGTTTTTGTGTTTGGTTTGAAAAAAAAAAAATTCAAAATCTCATTTTGGGTCAAAAAATTTTCTGTTTCAAATAGGTTGAATTTGGCTGGATTTGAAATTAAAACATACCTAATTCCAAATTTACCATTTTTATAGGAAAAAAGTTAGATATTTTATTTTTTAAATTTAAGCATATCACCATTCAACCTACAGCCATATAATCTCAACACACTACAAGAGTATTTCTTTGTGCAAATTGCCATTCAAGCCGACTACAGTTAATCAACCTTATTGTTTTTTATATTTGTTTGTTTTTATCTTTTCTCCCCTTTTAGGAGTTTGTATTTTTTAATTTTATTTTTTTCAATTAAATCAATAAAAAGTCTCATTTCTTGTTCAAAGAAAAAAAATAAAAAACATTGATGTTATTTTTTCATTTTCTATAATCATATTTCTACTTTTTCCAAAAGCACTAAAATGACATTATGAGTTCTGTATTTTTACAGGACGACTATAGAACCTGGGAAGATGAAATGGCTGATGAAGTTTCTTCTAAGGAGGTACTTTCTTACCATGACTATATATATATAATTTTTTTTTTCTCTAAGAAGCAGATTTACTTGAAATATGTAGAGTAAAGAAGCTGATTCTTAGTAGGAAATATTTTATAGAAGGGCATCCTGCCTTACCTTGGGTTTTCTGTTGGGAAAGAGGTATAGGATTTCATTTTGTAAAAGCAATTAACGTAGAAAAGGCCAAAGTATAGCTTTCCAGTTTCCATTGTGCTTCTTTCCATAAACATTTTTCCGAACCTTTGTGAAAGGGATTGATTTAGTCTCTTCTCCAGGATACTTTTCCTCTGGTTGAAATAAAAATTGTTTTGTATACACATAATTTCTTTTTATTCTGGAATTAGGACAATCTATTAAATACTTCTTCTTCTCCTTTGCTTTTACCCTTTTTTTTGTTTGTTAAAAAAGTTACACTCTATTGTTTCATTAATTAAGATAGGCTTCTCAAGCAAGGTCTTATGATGTTATTGCGGGAGAGTATTATGCTGCTCGGTTGGAAGCTGCAAAAGCGAAGGAAGAAGGGGACAAGAAAAGAAAAGAAACCGCTGGCAACATCATTCGCAAGCTTAAGCAGGAGCTGTTAGCTCAAGGTAGTATTTTATTTTCCTCTTGGTTCATATCCATTTTTTCCCATCTTATTGAAAGTTTTGTTACAATAGAAAATAGAAATGTTATATTTATCTGTATGTTTATATCTTTGTCTCGCATTACATCTTTTATTATTCCGCCAATTTTATAAGCAGGATTATCAGATGATATGCTGGCTTCTGAATTCGAATATGGAAGAGCTTTTGATAATGCATCAAAGGATACACATACGACTTCCATGCAGCATGGAATTTTTGGTGTCAATCAATCAGGTGATGTTGAAATTAGTGTGGACTGTCCAGTGCATAGAAATGAATCAACTGTTGATGTAGATGGGAGGGAGGCATCAAGTTCCAAGGAAATATCTGTAAATCTTATGTCTTCACAAGAAAAGAATGACTCGGAAAAGCTAGAAGATGTGGAGATCGGTAACTTTCTTTTTGAAGATGTTGAAACAAATCCACGTGTAGCACAGGAATTACTGAAATTAGAGAAGAAAGAAAAGATGAGAGAACTTTCCAGTGGGAAGAATTTGGAGAAGTTGGATGGCATATGGAAGAAGGTAAATATATATGATGCCTCGAGTCTCATGCTGCCTTTTTGCTTTCTATATCTGAACATAAAGCTTCAATGTGGCTTAGTGTGTAAGGAAAAAAAGTAAAGAATATTTTGGAACTGTGCGATTTCAGCTTTATGGTGGACTGTTTGGTTTGAAACAAACAAGAGAATCTTTGAAGAGAAAAGTGAAGATGTTTGAAGTAGAGTCAATTTATTTATTTTATTTCTCACGATAGCCTAATAGGCTTGGGTATTGTTTGGAGATCTTCTCAATTATTCCTTTAGGGTGTCTCCCTGAATTTGGCAAAGTAACTTGCTCTCTACCATTCTTTTCACTTCAGTACATGTGTGCTTAGTAGGCTTATCTCAAGGAGTTTGGTCACGTTCTACTTCACTGTCCCTCCACTTTGGAAATCTAGGCATCTCTTTTTCAATCCTTCAGTCATTTTTGTGTGTGTGTTTTCATGTGCTAGGAGTGAAATGTTTACAAGAGCATAAGAGGATGATGAGAAACTCTCTTGAAAAGGAGACAGAATATAGTTTTTTTTAATCAAGAAACAACTTTTATTGATGAGTGAAAGTCATAAGTTTAGAGAAACAAAAAGTGAAAGAAAAAGGAAGCCTTTGCTTTAGAAATACAAACTCCTTTCGAGAGTGAAAAAAAAAGGTCTTTCCTTTACAAATAGATAAATATTACAAGAAAGCCCTGAATAAAGGAAGACAAATCTCAGGTGCGAAATAACTATAAACAATGTTTTAAAAAGCGCGCCTGGGCGCACGCCTAGGCGTTAGGCACAATGCCTGCGCCTCGCCTTTTCAAGGCGAGGCGAAATGAAGGAGGCGAGCCTTAAGAGCGCGCCTCCCTTGAAGCCCCCAAAGTGCAAAGCGCTGCACTTCAGGGGCTTCTGTAAAACTATTAAAAAAAACCCTAATGCTTGCGTTTAGGGTTTTTTTTAAATCTCAAAATGGACCCAAAGCCCATAATCTTTTAAATTTCCCGTCTTTTCCTTTATTTTTGGAAAAGATCTCAATCTTTCCATAATCTTTTCAATTTTCTCTCCCTCCATTTACGTGAATCCCTTTAATATTCTGTGATTTCTCTCTCTTCCTTCACATGGAAGGAAATATTTTTTCTATAACAAAACCTCCATATAAAAGCTTTCCATCTCTGTCATTTCTCAACCTCTTCTCTCTCTCTTTTTCTCTTTATAATGTTTGAACTTTGAATATTATTTGGCTTTTATATGTTATATATGTGTGTATATATATTTTTCTTTTTCTCTTTATAATGTTTGAACTTTGAATATTATTTGGCTTTTATATGTTATATATGTGTATATATATATTTTTATTTATCTTTATATATAGTGTGCCTCGCGAAAAAAGGCCCGCGCTTTCTTTTGCGCCTCGAGCTTAAGGTCCAGAGGTCTATTGCGCTTTAGTGCGCCTCGAGCTTTTTAAAATACTGACTATAAAAAAGGGTCTAATTAAACTTTTGGTCCCTAAGATTTTGATTTGGTTTCTATCTAGTCCCTCAAATTTCAAGTAGTACTTTAAGTTCCTAAGGTTTGAAAAATGGTTTTGTATAGTATCCAAGTTAAGTTGACTAATCAACTAATGAAAAAATAATGTGACATTGTTTTATTTATTTTTTATTTTTTATATATATCTATGAGTGTCCGGGCCGCGCACACCCTTTTTGAGTGAGGTGTCAATTTTTATATTAATTATATATATATATATATATATATATATATATATATATTTTAACTGAGGTGACATTTTTCTTTTATCCCCCTCCCCATCCACTCTCTCTCTTCCCTTCTCATTCCTCTCCTTTTCTTTTGGTTTTTGTAGTTTGGATTTTTCTTCTATTTGGTACTTGAGGTTTCATTATTTATGTTATTTGATGTTGGTTTTTCATTTTAATAAGTTCATATTTTTATTCTTAAGTTTTTGAAGACTCTAAGTTCTTTATTTTATACTTCTTCAGATTTTGCAATTAGTTTTCTGTAGACTTTTTGTTTCTTATGGTACATACACATGGTCTAAATGAATGTAGGGGGACCCACTAAAGATTCCCAAGGCTGTTCTTCATCAATTATGTCAGAAAGCAGGATGGGATGCACCAAAATTTAATAAAATCCACGGAAAAGAAAACAATTTTTTCTATGCTGTTAATGTGTTGCGTAAAGCAAGTGGGAGAGGTAAAAACAGAAAAGCTGGAGGTCTGATTACACTTCAGCTTCCGGATGAGGACGAAATTTTTGAGTCTGCAGAGGTACTTTCCCATCTCTTTATCAATTTCTACATAACAATGCATTGTTGTGCTTAGCAAAGATGAAAAATGGAATTGGGACTTAAGCCAGTGACTCACCAGTTGTGTTCTTACTTTAGGTAGGAAAAAAGTTTAATTAAAATGAATTATAAAATAAGGAAGGGGAGATGAGACATTCATCCACTTAAAAGACCATAGTAGCGTACAAAGAAGGGGATTCTGCGTTAAATTTGGCAAACCTGCTGGTCTTCCACATCCTCAGAATCTGAATCTAACTATGACATTGTGCTATAATAGTTCTACAAAAGGCACTAGATCCATTTAGTTCAAGAGCTTCATTTCTTTCCCTTAGATTCACATAGATCCTTGTCTTCAGAGGTCAGAAGGAGAATCGTTTTTGGATTGACACATATTGTATGATAGGAGAGGACATCGAGGTTTAAATTCTTCTGATTGGTGACAAATTGTGGGGGCTGGCAAGTTACACTCCTTTATGTGCCTACTTGCTCAATTTAGCATGGAATGTGAACCTGAGAAGCTGGGATATTTTGTAGGTCATCTTTTATAGGACTCCAT